AACCCTGCCTACAATGTCCACTGCCCAGTGAACTAAAGCAACAAATAGTACAAGTATCAAAGGTGGACAGCCCAAACCAGTCTGCAAGCATGAGACAAGGCAACAAGCATAGAGGCCTGCGAGCACAACCCCCATTGTCAACCGCCAATCCGAAAGCATCGATCCGAGGCCGACGGCGTACCACGCATCTTAAGCCAGCATGGTACACAATTTTTGACGAGAGGATTGATATCTTGATGGTTTCCACCCTCAAACCATCTGAGGGAAAGGGACCCGTATGAAGGCAGTGTATAACCACTATGTAGCGGGTATACACCTTGATTCCATAGGCGTCCGTTTTGGTTGGTTTGCTTAAATAATAGAGGGCGATTCCTGGTTTAGATGGTTGGTTTATGCCCCATTTACCAGGGAAACCCATCTATTTGTCCAAACGGCCATGCTAGCAGGTGGGCGATGAGAGCAGCTGTCGCCATTTGTTCATACCTTTTGGACATGTGGCCTCCATTGTCTTGGCGTTGCAAGTCCAAGCCAGGACTTCAGCATGCTTGGAGCATTGTCCGACGCGAACTTTAAGGCGCATGATCGAAAACTCTCTAGGTTGCAACCCTGCTAAATGGAATGCCCGCAGGAGATGCAGTGCAAATTCATTCAGATGATGAAGCTCGTTCAGGTCGCTGCAAGCGTCTCCTCTCAGAGCAGGCTTATGCAAGTGAGCTGGGTTGGCAGGAGAGCGGCCTGCGACAGGGTCAACATCTTCGCAGGCGCAAGGAAAGTCTCCAAGTGGCAAATTGAGCACGTCATAGCTGCCATGCAGCTGGTGACACCTTGATAGACTTGAGCTGGGCGAGCAGGCCCTCCCTTTTCGATGGCTCCTGGATGGCTGAAATTCATGTGCACCAGCAGCTGCGCATTTCTCAGCCTTGCTAAAAGCTTCAGTGATTGATTGCTCGGGGCAATGTGTGTGTTTTTGGGGATCTATGCTAGCCAAACCTTTTTGATTGAGACAAAAGCGGCAGATTCTGTGAAGGTTGCACCAATTCATTGCTCAGTGAAAGCGTGGCGGACATGTGCATGTATATACATTTTGTGCTGAATGAGGCTTGGCATTGCATCGGCGCTGCGTCTTGCTTTTTGTTGCGCATGCGCCTTGCGACCCAGCCATTTGGCTAAGCAGGCAGTTTGCAGGCGCAAAATGCCAGATGCCGGAGGACAAGGCGGAGGAGGTGGATGTTCTGCTTGCCTGACACAATGGGATCAGTTTGGAGCCTTCGGCAAAAAGAAGACCCATGGGTACATCCGCGTGGCCGAGCCGCCCTCCAAGAGCATCCCCCGCAACGAAACAATCCACGAACGTGAAGAACATGCGCCCCTCATGAGCTCCCAGCTGGCGGAGGACCCTAACCTGGGGGACTCGCAATCCAGGGAAGTGGCGGTCGATGTGAAGGAGGCCGGCCAGGGCGACGTTGAAGTGGAAAATCTCTTCCTGCTGCGGCCACCTCGTGATGGGTGTGAGATTTGCCGGGCTGCGCTGTGCGCGCTTCTGGGTGCGTGCCTGGGTGCCTTTGTGGGCTTCTACGGCTTGTGCCAGAAGCCTGCAATGCTGATGTCGCAGAGGTGTGAGACCATCGGGCCGATTTCAGAAATGGGGTTTGATGCGATGCACCCGTCCAAACTCATGCTCAGCTTGTATTGTCGCACCGTTCGCCCCTCCTTAGCATTCAAGGTGGCGGCGCCTTTGCTTGTGAGCGCTGCAGGAGCCTATGGCGGCCTCCGCCTCGCCTACGGCCGTGCCTACATTGAGCAATGGAACGACGAAGAGTCAATCATCGAGTTGAAGAAACTCTACTCATTGAGATCCTGCGGAAGTAAGTTTGTTCTCATGTGTTGGTGGTTGAGGCACAGCAGCATTTTCGGGTTCCAGGTGATCGTGGAGGCATGGCTCCGGTACACAGTGGACCTGGGGATGGACCTCCAGGTTATGGGCATCTTCCTGCAGCACCACCAGTTCTGGTTCTTCAGCCTGAACTTGCTGGGGATCATCATGGGCTTGCTTTGGACCGCCCATGAGTTTTACCTGCGCTTTACCGAGCCAGGGGCAGAGATCACCCATGCGGAGGTTTTCTTTGCAGGGATGACGCTGCCCTTACTGGGCCAGCATGTCACCTACCTGTCTGTGCTGTCTCTGCTCCGCGGCAGTTTGCACCCCCTCCTCTTCGTGTCCACGGTGGCCGAGGCAATCTTGGAATCGTCCTTTTCTTGCTTCATCCAGACCTATGCGGTGGTCTTCACAGAGCTCCCTCCGGAGCAAAAGAGCGAGCTCTATTTCTCGGTCTTCATGTCCTTTTTGTCCATCGGCTACGCCTTCAGCACAATTGACATGGTCCAGGGCGGCCGAATCTTGGTAAAGATCCCGGGCTTCTGCAAAAGCGTGATTTCTCCTCGGTTCTGTGTGGTCTTCGTGTTCCGCATTTGCGAGATCACCTCGAGGGCCACTTCCTTGGCGCTTTTTCAGGCGGTCACGCGGCCCTATGGGATGTTTCTCCTGATTGCTGTGGACGCTCTGATCATCTCCTGTGTCACAGTGCTTTTTCAGTGGTGCTGCGTGGTCAAGTTTGCGCCCATACCTCCCTTTACCTTCTTTCGCCAGAACTTTTTCTTTGTGATCCCTTCGGTGCTGTGCTGCCATATGGCACCGATCCTGGAGAAGGACTCAGCCATCTCCGTGCCACCTTGGGTCTACTACAGCATCAGGCTCCTGGAATTGGGGGGCATGGTGGCTGTGGCGGGGAAGTGGCTGGACTGGAAACTGGATGCCGCCCGCCAGCTCTTTGCGGACGATGGCTTCATTGTGGCCTCCTTTGCGATCAGCACGCTGCTGATGCTGGTGCTGGTTGTGATCATCCGGACCTGCCTCAGTGTGCGGAGCCTTGTGGACTCCCCAGCGGATGTGTGGAGCAACAACGAGTTCAACCCTGTGCAGCACGCATTGAAGAACCGGATCCTCGAGGTCAAGAGCGAGTGGCCCGACCAGGAGCAGACCACAGAAGCCGTGAGCATCCTGTTGAAAGAGCTTCAGAGACACCCCAAGCTCACCAGCAAGGAGTGTTTCGAGCATGTCCAACAAAACATGAAAGGCGTATCCGGCCGCTGGAATCGCGGGAGCCGGGATCTTATCATCTTGCGAGCACGGGCTAGCTACAGCATCAAGGAAGCCATGCACGATCTCGAGAATTATGACTTCGCGAAGGTCGCGTCCAGCCTCGAGACAGAGTCGTTGGTTTCCATCAGCAGCTCCCAAGGGGTATACTTGACTGCTGAGGGCAACCAGATCGTGGGGAAGAAGTGCAGCGACAGCTCAAACCAGAAGTTTGTCTTGGAGGCAACAGACTCTGAGGATCCCCAGACTCTCAAGTTGAAGTGCCTTGAGTCTGGGCAGCTGCTGGGCCTGGAGAAGGATGGTTTCAAGGGAGAGGACTTTGAGCTGCGGAGCGGGCTGGAAGAGTCAGAGGCGACCTTGTTCGCCCAACAGGATGCCCAGGAGATGGTGCACACCGCCAAGGCAGGGGTGGAGGTCTTCCTCCATCATGCTGGCAGATTGACCACGGCTCCTATGAGCATGGTCCAAAGTGATGGCAAGGAGGCGGTAGAGGCATGGCGCCTGCGGTTCGTTGAAGATCAGAGGTATGCTGGGATGACCTTCACATTGAAGCAGGCCAAGTACTGCAGCCAGGACGATGCGGGCGTCTTCAAGTGGGCGGCGGGTGAAATCACCAAGCTCGCGGCCAGCGTGCAACGCCAGCAGTCCTTCGCAGAGAAGTACCGCACGCTAGTGGTGGTGGCTTGCAACGCGCGCACCGTGGACGTGGAAGTGGCCGGCAGGGTTGGGCGAAATTCGGTTTAAGCAACCATACCAGGGCCTTTCAAACAGGGTTCCATTTTTTGGTTGAATTGGTTTCCCTGGTTGAAACAGTTGGGGTTTTCCATTCACGAAAACCTTGGGGAAGCCCCCAGGTTCAGTTGGGAATCCCAAAATGGCAGACCCTGCTTTCAAAAGGAATCCCCTAGAGCAACAGCCTTGGTCTTCTAGTGGCAGGAATCCTGGAGCAAGACCCGGAGTTGCACCAGAACATGCTCTGCAGGCTTCTCCAGCCCTTTAGGAATGAAAAGGAGATCCGCACCAATGGGTTTGCCGTTTTTTTTTTGCCCGTGCGAACCCACCCATGTTAGCGTAGTGGGGGTTGTTGAATGTTCACTGGGGGTGAACCGGGGACCCATCGCCAAATGAAAAGGAGATCCGCATCTCTGTTGAAGAGCTGGGAAAGTCAGTGGAGGTCGGGCGCAAGGAGCGGAAGCTCGTGGCCAAAAAGGATGTTGAGTCTTGGTGGATTCTAGCCATCCCTCAGTTTTTTTTGGTTCTCTCTCTCTCTCTCTCTTTCTCTCTCTCTTTCTCTCTCTCTTTCTCTCTCTCTTTCTCTCTCTCTTCTCTCTCTCTCTCTCTTCTCTCTCTCTCTTTTCTCTCTCTCTCTTTTCTCTCTTCTCTCTCTCTTCTCTCTCTCTCTTCTCTCTGCTCTCTCTGCTCTCTCTCTCTCTCTCTTCTCTCTCCTCTTCCACTCCTCTCTCTCTCTCTCCTTTCTCTCTCTCTCTCCTCTCCTTCTCTCTCCTCTCTTCTCTCTCTTCTTCTCTCTCTCTCTCTCTCTCTTCTCTCTCTCTCTCTCTCTCTCTCTCTCTCTCTCTCTCTCCTCTCTCTCTCTCTCTCTCTCTCTCCTCTCTCTCTATCTCTCTCTCTCTCTCTCTCTCTCTCTCTCTCCTTCTCTCTCTCCTCTCTTCCTCTCTTCCTCTCTCTTCTCTCCTCTTCTCTCTCTCTCTCTTTTCTAGTTTTTTTTAGAGTTTAGTGGTAGTTTCTGTATATTTCACTAAAAGTTGAACATTTGGCCAGGGATTTGACCAACTAGGAGTCATACCTGGCGCGGGCCGGCATCCAGCCCGGGGACAAGCTGCTAATGTTCAAGCTCCTCGGGGAGGACGCCAGCGTGAAGATTGACGAGTTTGAGCAAATGCGGCAGCTGCTGACAGATTTCAAGAAGAGCAGCGACACGGCAATCGCCACGTTCTTGTCTGAGGCCTACGCCAAGACAGAGGAAAGCAAACAGACCATCAAGAAGGCCGTGGAGCAGACAGAGAGCATTGCCGCGCTGCTGCCGACGTGGCAAGAGATCACGAAGCGCGCCGAGAAATTGGGAGTGGAGACTGTGCTAAGGCCGAACTTCCTTTTCCGCGTCAAATGCGAGCTGGTGAAGGGTCTGACCAGTGCTGGCTTCCACCTTCACCACAAAGGCTTCGTGCAATTCGCAATGCATCTGCACTATCGCTTCAACCCGCTCCCCAAGCAGAAGCTTCCTAAGCGATTCGATGCGGTTGTGGAGGATGTGCTGATCGCGCAGCTGGAGGTCTTGGTCAGCATTTGGCAAGCCTTGCCCCGTGTGGTCAAAGAGGATATGCCTGAAGTGATCCAGGCCCTTTTCCGGCCGCAGGTGGAGCTAGAGTTGATGACAAACGCGGTTGACGTGCTGGTGAACCGCTGGCAAGCTTCGAAGAATCGCATGATGCCAGATGAACTGGTGGACTTTTTTGCCAACTTCAAACCAGCCACGGAAGACTCGCCTGCGTCCATGTATTGGATCGTAAAGGCCTGGCAGGCGGACAAGGAGAGCAATAATGATGTGCACGAGCGGGTCAAACACCTCAGCAAACAGTATCAGGACGCCGAGGAGTCCTGGAAGAAAGAGGCAGAGGAGAAGCTCAAGCAGGCGGAGAAGGCGAAGCTTCTGCTGGAAAAGGCCACTGCGGAGAAAGTCAGATCGGTGATTTGCAGCAGCCCTGCTGAGTTGAAAAAGGTCCAGGAGCAGGGTTCCACTTTTGGCTTCATTCTGGCTTTCCTTTTATGAACTTAAACCCAGGGATGGTTGATCCACCAAAAAGGGGAATTCCTGGGTTTAAGGATTTCAAAAAGTGGAACCCTGTCCAGGAGATGTTGAGCGAAGACCTGGTGCTGAAAGTGGACTACAAAGTCGACGGCAAGGTGAAAGTCCTGAAGGGAAAGAGCCTAGTTTGCACGGCAGGAGTGGTTTGGAAAAAGTTCAACATCGAGACTGCTCCGGACGAGGGAAAAAAGAAGAAGATCCACCAAGATTTGCCCAAGTTGTACACGGGCAAGAATGTGCACTTGATGTTCAACAAGCTGGACTTTGACAAGCAAGGCGCAGAGGCTCAAGCGGCGCAGGAGAAACTGTCACAGTACGAGTCCGTGGCCAAGGCAGCAGTAAAGGCTTTCCCCAGCATCAAGGACATCCTGGGCGAAACCTTGGACGCGATCCACAAGTTGCAGATCGGCAAGAAGGAGAGCGAAGAAAAGCGCCAAAGGGACCTGACCGTGCGTGAGCTGGAGAAGGAGAAGGAGGAGTTGCAGAATCAGCTCGGGTCCGCCAAGAAGGAGAACGCGGACTTGCAGAATCAGGTCCAGTCCGCCAAGATTGATAATGAGGAGAATCAGAATCAGCTTGGGTCCGTCAAGAAGGAGAATGCGGACTTGCAGAATCAGGTCCAGTCCGCCAAGAAGGATAATGAGGAGAAGCAGAAGCAGCTCCAGTCCGCCAAGAAGGATAATGAGGAGAAGCAGAAGCAGCTCCAGCAGCTCCTGTCGGTCAAAGAGGATAATGAGAAGATGCTGAAGCAGATCCAGCAGCTCCAGCTGGAGAAAAAACAACTTGGAGAAGCAACCCGGAAGTAGCACGACTCCAATGTGAGCCGCGAGCGTCTTCCAAAAAAGAAGAAGCGCCGCGCTGCGCCGGCAGACATCGGACATGAGGATCAGCTTGTCTTTGCGCCATTTGCGCCTCGTTGTGTCCGTTTAGGCTCCACGGACAACCGTTCAAATGGTGACAAAGGGAACCTGTTCAAGAAATGACGAGAAGAGAGGAAATGCAAAAAAGACCATGTTTTCTTATGTTGCACCCGAGAAATCGCAAAAAGTCCTCAGTTTTTGCACATCGGCCACGCCGATCCCCGGAAAAGGTTCATCCGCGCACCGCAGAATCGCAAAAAGTCCTAAGTTTTTTTGCGCATCGGCCACGCCCATCCCCGCAGAGGGTCGCGCGCGCCAAAACACAATCGCAAAAAGCCCGCAGTTTTTGCACATCGACCACGCCGACAGTGTCGTCGGCCCGTGCGTTTCGCACCGCGCGATTTCTGGCCGCACAAGTCCGCTTTGACTTTGCATCCGCCTGATGCTCCTTGGCGCCCAGAGCACAGGGCAGCCTCGCAACCGCACTAAAGAGGGGGCGAGTGTTGGACCGGTTGCTCACAGTGCTAAAGTGGGGGTACTTGTGCAGGCTCCGCAGGGGGATGCAGGTCAGGGGATGGACACGCTTTGTCGTCCCTCCTGCATCCTCGAGCCTGGACTTCTGAGCAACGCCTAATAAAAAGGAGCAGGGCGATTCGGTTGTCAGTTCCTCCCCTTTGTATTTCTGGTCCCCTCTTGGCTTGAAGCAGCGAACAGGATTCTAACGCTTGGGGTTTTCTGTTCCCCCGTGTTTTAATCCTGTTCGAATCTTCAGCCGCGTGGCCGCTTTTGCTTCAAGCTTTTTTTCGAGGGACCGGTTTAGAGGGTTCGATCCCTCTTCCGCTTTTTTCAAAGCCCACCCACCCACCCTGTCAGCACTCAGGTGGTTCACCTTGGCGAACAAGGCTGGCAGGCGTTGCAGCCGCATATTGAGCCAGCATGCCTTTTCCACTAACGTGGCAGCCAGGACACTTGCGAGGACGCTTTCCTCCAGCATGTCCCTTCGGACTCCGCGAGAGAGAGAGGACGCGTTCCTCAGCAGTTGGCACGAGAGCACGCGTTGCTTCGTGACCACGCCACTTGCAGGACCAGCCAGCCGCCTTAAATAAGACACGTGCGAGGACGCGTTCCTCCAGCATGTTCTTTCGGACTCCGCGAGCCGGAAAGAGCACTTTCATCGGCTTTTGGCATGGAGCACGCGTTGCTTCGTGTCAACACCACATTGTAGGACCGGCCATTTTCCCGTCGTGAACAGAAGCACGCTTTGCTTCCTGCATATCACAATACCTCCAGTCATGTTTCACACCCTGGGTAACACACCCTGTGAACAGGTTGAACACGCGTTGTTAACCTTGGGGGTATTTGTGCAGGCTCCGCAGAGGAATGCAGGTCAGGGGATGGACAGACTTTGTCGTCCCTCCTGCATGCTCAAGCCTGGACTTCTGAGCAACGCCTAATAAAAAGGAGCAGGGCGATTCGGCCGATCGAGTTGTGAGTTCCTCCCCTTTTTATTGCTGGTCCCCTCTTGGAGATTCAAGTCTACGAAGAAAGGACCTGTAAAAGAGGCTAGGCGGATCTACTCCCGGGCCGTTGAGAGCGAGATCTGTCCGGACCCCAGCGGACTTTGAAGGGAAACCTCAACAGTTTCCTGGATGATGAAGACTCTGCGGATGCTGACATTCTGAAGAAGATGGTTGTCGATGCGTGCATCAACATCGGGGTTCCCGAGGCCTTGAACAAATCGTTGGAAGAGACCAGGGAGATTCATACAAGGGGATTTTGCTATTGCACGTTTCCACCGGCAAGTTCGTGATCCATGTGGATGACGACGAGCCCAAACCATCCGACACCACCAATGTGACGGAGGTTAGTCGTCGCCGAAGAAGAACGACCCGACACCCATGAGATATCGGGACGGACATCGACGATGAAGATGCAGGAGTTTGTCCGGACAACTCAGAGGAGGATGCGGACGCAATTCATCTTCTCAAGTCAAGGCCATCTGCGTTGAGAAGCCGGCGAGGGGAGGATTTTCAAAGAAGCCCATAAACAGAACATTCTAATTCCGCCCACCTTTGAAGAGGTCACTGTGTTTCTAAGTTTAGAAATGTGAGGAAAAGCGCGAACCAAAGATGAGAATAGTGTATTGGCGTCTTCCAAGACCGACTGCCGCTGCTGTTGCAGTCCGCTGCTGCTGCCGCAGTCCGCAGCCGCAGTCCGCAGCCGTCGCGTTCATCCGCCTTGGCCCGGCAGTGGGAAGGCTACTCGCACGACCCTGGAAGAGGCGACTGCGGAAAACCCCCATTATGGCCAACTTGGCAAAAAGAGGAGACTGCGGAAAACTCTCACGGTGTCGGTCCCCTTTGGCCGTCGTCGGTCGGTCGGTCGTCGTCGTTCGGTCGGTCGTCGTCGTTCGGTCGTTGTCGTCGTCGTTGTAGTCGTCGGCCGTCGATCGGGAAACCTTTTTTTCCCTGGTTTTTAGCTTGCGTTGCAGAAACGCAGCTTGCAAATTGCAAGCGTATCGAGGGGTCGATAAGTGCAGGCACGGGCTCCTTTCAGCTTATCTCATCATCCAAAGCCCGTTTGGGGAGTCCCCTCTAAAGAGAGAGGCCCTGCCCTACTCCCCTTGTGGGTAGTTTCCGGATGGTAGGAAATGCCAAAGACCTTTTGGAGTAGCTCTAGTTTCTCCCGCTGACCTGATACCCTGCGCGGGACCTATTGAACTTGCCGACGGAATCCAGCCGGATCAGTGGCCCTTGAAGAAGTGCTTGTGGATCACATGCCCTGCTACTGACTGTGCTGGAAATACCGTCACGTCATTCTCTGTCCACCCTCGCAATGCTGCGATGTGAAAGAGGAAGTTGCACAGTTTACCGTCCGCAGAAGTGACTTCCCCAAGCAAGTCTGGCGCCAGATTGTGCAGGCTCTTGCCAAAACCATTTTTTCCAGACTCACACAGAAGATCGTGCCAATGCCATTAAATCCGTGGGACGTCTTTTTCGTTTCGACTCCAACAGACAGAAAGCTTGCAGACTGCAGAAAAATGATTTCGTCTGGATTTGGCTCCATATTCCAATTCAGTTTATGTGCAGAATTCAGGTTTCGTGAAGATGAACATTTCCCAACGTGATTCCTCCATTCTCCCTGACCACCAATTCACCACGATTTGATAAAGTGTATCGAAAAGAGAAAAGCCAAAGTTGCTCTTTTTGCCCCACTTGGGCACATCGCACTCGATGCGATGGTGGCTTCGGAGTCTGGGTCAGAAAATTCAATTGAAGACTGCGTGGATTGCCCTTAAACCTGGTGTCGATTTTAAGAAACCCATCAACATCAAGTTTTTCGTTTTGCTTTTTGCACTCCCACAGAAGGGCTCCGCGTCCTTGCAGAAACAGGTTGGGATGTATAGCTTTTTGGTGCTGCCAAGCCTTTCAAATCCAACTTTTTGCGCCAACCTGGGGCGCTGTTCTTGCCAGGCGCACACAGCGAACAACCACTGGAAACATATTTCAAAGACCAGTTGCACTGCGGCCGTCCAACAAGATAAACAACGCCCTTCTTAAAGCAATAGGTTTTCTGTAGGTTGTCCAGTGTCATAAGTCAAGACGGGTAAGCGTTGGGACTTGCCACTCTCTCCAGGCTTCTGATAAGACCCCCTCGCCTTCTTATAGGCCCACATGTCTTGTCGATTGCAAAAACTGGATTCTTGCGCACAGCGTCAACATGTGTGCAATTCTGATTTGTGCCTTTACTGATGCACACACAAACTCTTGCAAGAAAAATTGGGTTCTGCTGTTTTACATGTGTTGCTGCTACGAAGCAAAGTAGAGCACGCCGCGTGGATGGACTCCTGTTGCTGCAATGGATGTTGATTCGTTTCACAATTGACACCTCTGCCGCAGGTGTGGTTGCCCCCCTTTTTGCAGACTTGGAACAGGCTGGTGCGACTTCAGAAAAGTGCACAATAATATGGATGCTCGGTTTTTGCGACGATCATCTTTGATGCTTTGGGTGCGCACACAAGCGCAATTTTGGTGTGACATGAGAGAAAGAATGGCTGTATGTGCGAACAGTACTGTTGGTGATTGGGGGCAACTTGGCACTTTGCTATCTTGCTTCTGCTCCAAACAATCCTGCATGTTCTACGGATGGGCGCATCAATTTCACATTGGCGCCGTTTTGTGAATATTTGGCTTG